AGAGAGAGAGAGAGAGAGAGAGAGAGGTTGGGGAGTAGCGTGAAGAGGTCCAGACGACTCAAGCCAACGCCCCTTTTCTTGCATGGCTCAGCTGCGTGATATCGAGATTTCGAAGCCAGTAATGTGTCGTTGTCTTTCACAGGCTCAGGGTACATACATAATCTAAATAACAAGTAAAGAACCCAACATGTGTACTGTTCAATGATTGTGTACGTTTCACGCCTCCATCAACATAATTTGGATCCTCTAGTTGTCGGACTGCTTCGATCCTGATGCTAGGGCGGAAAAACAGAGATATTTGTGTACTCTATGAAATAGTTATCGCTTACTTTCACGTTATTTATAAAGAAACAAAGTTAATACCCTGGGAAGTGAGTTCTAGTCAAAACGGGTAAACTCCGATTATAACGGGCTCTAGCGCCTTGCAAAGATCTGTGACACTTTTGACATTAATTTAACAATTAGCTTATCGTATACAGGAGGTCTCGAAATGGAAATCACTTCGCAAAAAAGAGAGAGAGACATAACACCGATATGATAAAAGCACATATTGATATTCCATGGGTTAAGTCCCCTGCAAGTTAACGTGTCGATGAAAATTTAATAAGTGAGCATAAAAGTAAATTATCAATGTAAAAGCTTTCAAGCTTTAAAGAATCCTCAGATATACGATCCAAAATTCACTCTGTATCGCAGGTATTTGACTCACTCTCGACACGAACTGAATCTCTTAGGGGATATGATACTTCGAACCCACCTTCCAGGGCTAAATTCAGCCAAGGTGGGATGCATGCAATGCAACATTTCACCGAAATATTTTCGGATACAAGAAACTTCTCCATGCGAGAATCGAACTCATGTCTTTAGAGTTCAAAGGTAAGAGCCCTGCAATAACACGGGGAACACCACGAGACTGCTGCTGTACATATGTATTTACTCTCTCCCTGCAGGCCCACGCTTGTCTGCCATTGGCCACTTCTTACAGTTTTGTCACCATCTAACTGCTGGGTAATTGAATTCTCTGTAATAATTATTGCACTCTCATAACTGCCATTTGGTCAACCTCTTCTACCGTTCTGTTTTGTTTTTGTTTTTGTTTTTGTTTTTTTTTGTTTTTACTTTCTTTTTTTTTTCTTCAAGTGGTCTCCAGTGCCATGTGTAATAGGTCCGTCTTGTCTCTGGCATTTTAAAACATGTCCCAAATAACCCCTTCTTCTTCTTCTTCTTTTTTTTTGGTGGTATTGATATCATTTTCAATTCAGCCCCAGCCCTTTCCAACACTTCTACATGTGACAAATTAATACAACTTTATTCATAAGATTCGTTGGTCACTACTCTGCTGTAGCGTAATGCCTTTTTTCTATAAAAAGGGAGATCTTTTTCTAACTATATAGCTCTCCACTGTAGGTTACATAATGTGTAAGTAAAGTGACCAAGAGTCTGTCATGTCCACAAATAGCCAACCTTCCCATCTTGGTCGCCTCAGCCCCTGAAGTTTGGAATACGTTATTGACGGCATCTTTCTTGTGGTTTGTTCCTTCAAACATCTCTGGTTCTCATCATTCTCTCCTTCTTCTTTTTTGTGTTTATTGCACTCTTGTAGCACCTCTAATTTTCCGCTCTTATATGACCTTATTGTGTTGCAAGTGCCGAAAAACTCTTACTAGAAAAAAAAAGAAGTTTGGTGATCAGACTTTCTGATACTCGCCCCATACTTTCTGTGAAAGATTCACGCCTGTAGACTTGAGAATCATAATAACATGCTAGACCGTGCACTGTCACGGCTACCGTTCTTTCTAATCTGTTTAAAACAAAAAGTTTTGCTGCTAAGCGTGAGACGAAATGAAGACCAAAACATCCGTCTCATTGTAGTTAATAGAGTGCGCGCTGCACCTTTCCCCACTCTCTCCTATCAACTGGCTCCAAATTGTATAGCCCAGCTAGACCTGAGCAGGAGCTAACGGCACGCCAAGTCTTAGCCTTCTGCTTGCATCCACCATAATCTTAAACGTTCTACCCTGGCAGAGGGAAAAACAGAATCTAAGCAAAGAGGAGATTTACTTGATACCCC